AAAAAAAAAAAAAAAAAGATAAGACATGGGGTGTTAATACATATTCAGATCTGCTGATCCCGTACCCGAAACAAGAAAAAGGGAATTTTCCGCTCTTCCAGTTTCCCCGCCACGACCTTAAGTCCACGCAGCAGAAAGCCGAAGTGTCTAGCCCCCGCTCCAAGGAACTTAGGCACAAGATTGAACACCACGGCCAGGGGTACCTCCCTCTCTCTCGCCTCCTCCCACGCGTGCAGCAGCGCCCAGTTATCACAAGATCGTTGATCTCGCGACATCCAGTAGATCACCGGGCCGGTGTTGACGTCGACGGCCTTGCCCACAACCTTATCCACATCTGGCTTTTTCTGCTTCGGCTTCAGCACCCGCACACGCTTCGGATTAACGCGGACGTCATCAACTTCTCGCCTCCCTCCTCCTCCTCCTCCTTCCTTCGTCTTCGTTCGTCCCTCGTCGCGGCCACTGGTCGGGGTCTGATTCGTTGCTCCAGCGGCCACGTCGGACGATGCCACGTCAGCCGCGGCTGCTGTCTTAGCTGCTGACGTGGCGGCAGCGGAGCTCGGCTTCTTCGCCGGAGAAGACCCAGCTGACTTACGCGATGCTGACGTGGCATTCTTCGCTGATGACGTGGCATTCTTCGCTGATGAAGTGGCATTCTTTCCTGATGACGTGGCATTCTTTCCTGATGGCGTGGCAGTGTTCGCTTTTGATGTTTCCTCCGCCACAGAGAGCTTCGTTTTCTTCAGCGATGGCGCTTCATTCTCTTCTCCTCCGCGTCCTGATCCTTCTCCTCCCCCTCCCTTTTCAGTTGCGCTTCTCTTCATGGCTTCCCTTGCCTCGATCAGCCGAGGGGAAGGCGATGACGTCAACGAAAAAAACAACGACGATGCTGAAGATGACGTAATCAAGGGAACGCCACGCAAGCGCTGCCACGTGTCAGACAACGGGCGACCGATACAAAGGCCGCCGATCAGTGGAAGTTGCTGTACAACGCAATAGGATTGCCAAAGGCTAACACTCCTCGTTCGTTGCATGCAGCGGTCACGTGGCATGCAGCGATGACGTGGCATGCAGCGATCAGGTAATCTGCATCGTCTGTTCAGTCTCGGCTTCGTCGAATTCCATTCACTCGTGCCGTTGTAGCTGATTAGCTCATGGAAGACTTCGTTGATTGGACACGTGTAATTGAAGGAGCGGCAGCAGCAGAAGACTGGGTGGGGAGCGAGGAGGCGAGTACTACGTTGATTACGCCAACTCCGATCTCCTCCTCCTCCTCCTCCTCCTCCTCCTCCTCCTGATCTTCTTCCTCTGTGCGATAAAGACGCTGCCACGTGGCCGATCTGACAGCAGCTGCTCACCTTCTGCCAGCGGGAAAAACGTTGGGGGAAGACGTGAAGCCGCCACTTGTCCTGATAGCCTAGTCGAAGAGGGAGGAGCTGGCGGTAATTCTCTCCTACAGAGATCGCGATCCCGACCGTCTGATCTGTCCCGCACAACCGCCTCCACTCACTGGATCGCGGGCTACAAGCCGGTATCATCAACGACGGCAGCTGCAAGATGAGCGGTGGGAGGTTTGGACACTTCAGCAGCAAGACCGACGGCGATGGCCATGAACGATGAACGATGACGATGACATGCACCGACGACGTGTAAAAAACAATGACATGGTAATTTAGAACGATTTACCATACAGTAAAATTTCCAAGGAAAAAAAACGAGAGCACCGCTGCTTCTGCTGGAAAAGCCTGATTTGCTGTGATTCCGTGAATATATTCTATTATTGCTGGAAAAATCTGCTGGAAAAGTCTGATTTGCTGTTTGCTTTTTTTTTTGTTTTTTTCCCGTCTGCACGACGTTAAAGGAGCGAGGAGGGACAGAGAGAAAAAAAAAAAAAAAAAAAGAGGAGTGAGGGACAGCAGATCGAGAGCTGGGATGTTTGTTTTCACTATTACAGTATATCTTTCCATGTTCTATCAGAGGATTCATTCTCAAATTGCACATTTGGTGATTAGTGGAGCTAGGCCCTCTTAAGTCCTCCTAACCAAATCGAGGGGTTCGATTTGGATTCGAGTACGCACCGATTCTCTGCCATCCGATCCGAACATCTCACGGCCGCACTCTCGTGTGGCCACGATGACAAATAACTCAAAATAATACAAGTTTGAGCCGCTTAAGGGAAAAAGAAAAAGAAAAAGAAAAAGAAAAAGAATAATAATAATAATAATAATAATATAGTAACTCGAAAGGAAGACTAAACCCCTGTGACTGGTGGTGGAACTTATCCCCCGGTCGCCTTATTGCTGCTCCATATCTGTGAACATCAACAACAAATGTGAAGAAGCCGAATGTTCACCGTACATTCAAGTAGTCATTGTGGGTCGAGGTCCCACTGGCACAGAGGGTTGGACTAAGCACCTGAATCTGGACGTGTTCGTGGTGAGGGACAGAAAATTGTGAGTGATCTGCTTCTCTGCATCTTTTGCTTAAATCGCATCCAGATTCACGCGCTCAGTCCTGTCCTCTTTGCTAGAGTGGGACCTTGCTCCTGGACACAACAGAAATGAAATGTTAGTTTTACTGACGGGCTTAGTTTGCAGCTTGTAGTTCACCCAAAAAAATTGTTGACATCACCCAAAAAAAAAAAAAAAAAAAAAAAAAAGAAATGCAGACCTGAGTTCCAATCCAAATGGAGGCAGATGAACTGAATTCCTGAATTAACTGGGGGCCGGTCAGTTTCACCTGTATGATATCTCAAGGCTGTCAGTGCTGTCACCCTTCATTAAAAAAAACTAAAAAAAAAAAAAAAGATAAGAGGATAGTTTTGCACGCTGACGTGGCAGACTTGCGTGTAAATTGCAAGCCAACCTGGCAAAGAGGATGTGACACATGGCAGCACGCCGGCATGGTCATGAGGACCTCGTCATTACTATACTAATGCTGACGTGGCTCAATCTTAAGCAGCTTCTTCACACAAGCGATTTACTTTTTTCTTTTTTTTTTCTTTATTCTTTATCCTTTTTTTTTCCTTCTTGTGCACCTGCTTCATACAAGCGATCGAACTCTCCTTTTTTTTTCCTTTTCATTCTTTTATTCTTTTTTTGTTCCTTTCTTTTTCTTTCTATCTAATATGTTTAGAAACAAATAACTTGCATTTTCTTTTTTCACCGACCAATGTTATCAACACCAACGACCTCCCGAAAACGATCCTCAAAAAAAAAAAAAAAAAAAAAAAAAAAAAAAACAAACAAACAAACATTCTCCTACTGAAATTAAAATGAAAATGATCCTTCAGCCAGCATCTAACAGCGCAACGCAAGCTAACTTACCACGCTCCCAAGCATGCTAGTGCGGAAACGGCAATCCGACGTGGCATGCTGACGTGGCACGATACATCAAGACGTGGCACCATTTGGGCCGCTCAGCTCAGAAGTCGACGTTCAAGTGCGAAACAAAACAAAAAAAAAAAAGTGACCACGAACGAACTCTACGGCAGTCACGAGGGAGAAGAACCAACCGCCAGAACATCGATCGACCGTAAGAAAAAGGGAAACCAACACCGTGATTCGCAAATAATCAGAACACAATAATAATAATAATCATAAATCGTGATTAACAGCAAGAAAAAAGTACTAAGATCGCAAAAAAAAAAAAAAAAAGAGGGAACTGAGATCTACGGACAAAAAAAAAGGAAGTGAGCTAATTTGTAACGTTGACCGGTAGCTTTTTGCATTATCTTCCCGCCTCGAGGATGGCGTCTCACGTCGAACTGAAACCGTTTTTTTTTTCCCCCGCGGAGGGGGGCCGGGGGGGGGGTCCCATTTGGTCCCACAAAGGGTCGCAAAAAGAGGAGATCAGAGAACAAAACAGAACAGAAAGGAAGGGGACTGAAACCGGTTTTTTTTCCGGCGGAGGGGCCCAAGGGGGGTCCAATTTGGTCCCACAACGGGTCGCAAAAAGAGAAGAGAACAGAACAGAACAGAAAGGAGGGGACCTTGCAAAATTGAAACTCCTGGGGCAAGGTCCCACTCGCACGGATTAGGAGATTTCGGCCGTTGATCTTCGCTATAGACGGTCAATATAGCATAATTGGTGCAAGTGGGACCTAGCCCCTGTTGTTCGGGGAACAAAGGAGGACCCCACGCTGCAGTGGCCGTCCTTTCACAAAGAAATGACGGAGGGTGAAAAAAAAAAGAAAAAAAGAAAAAAAAAAGAAAAAAAAAAGAAAAAAAGAAAAAAAAAAACGAGCAGCACGTTTCCCAGCCATTTTGCAGAACGTACTACTACTACCGTAGTGGTTTCTTGATATGTGAACGTGAATGCACCTGGACGTGAGAATGTCCAGATTAGTGCTTTCTTGATACTGCTAAAAATGGAGCTCGTGCTCTATGGGACCGACCGCGGCACCCATGGAGCCTACCAGTTAGGCAGTGGCGCGAGCTACCCTCTGTCTCCAAGCAGTGTCTAGACTGAAAGTTGGCCCAAGTAAAACGCTCCGATGACGGTCCGCTCTATTCGGGGGCTAGGTCCCACTTGAACGAATTAAGAGATACCGACCGTAGATAGCAAAGATCAACGGCCGAAATCTCCTAAGTTGCGCAGATGGGACCTTGTCCCGGGGGAAGAGGGGACAGGCCCTGCAGTCGACTTCCCCTAAGCACGCTCTTTTCCCCGCCACTTCCCCTCCCTCCGCCCCCCCCCCCCCCCCCCCCCCCCCCCCCCCCCCCCCCCCCCCCCCCCTCTCGGATCTCAGCTGGAGAAATGAATGGCTCGAGGTGAACTCACGTGTCCAACCGTCTCATCTGCCGAGGGCTTACGTGGCTCACTGAGGGACAGAAAAAAATAGTAATAGTAAGAAAAAAATTGAAGAAAAAAGAACAGCCTGGGTCTCCTTCCGCCTGAAACGGGACTTGTCAGCCCCTCGAAACGGACCTTGCAGGGTTGCCACGAGACCATTTCTCGATTTATGCGTGTCATCCTGGTTGCCGAGAGAAGAGAAGGGGGCATGACGCAAAAAAAAAAAAAAAAAAAAAAAAAAGGGGGCATGACGTATATGCCCCTCGAAAAGTACCCTCAGAAGAAACGTTTGAGACTGAAAAGTGGGAGGCCTGTGGTGACCAGGCCCACCCCTAATGGGGTTGTGGTTGGAACCACCACCACAACACCACCACCTTTTCAGACCACCAGTTTGTGATGGGCCCAGCCTTTGGAAAAACACCTCCCTGGGGTCGCTGAAAGGCTCGGAATACCTGCCCCAACAGAGCTGGCGGTGCTGGCCAAATCGCACACCCCAACAGGTCATTTAGCAGCTTAGGACGGGGCAAAATCAGCGTTGGGGAAAAAAGGCTTGGAAAAAAGGCTTGGAACATCCCGTGGTTTAAACCACCAGTAATTCGCCCAGCCCTTTTCCTCCGACTCTACTGTCAACGTGCGACAAGTTTCGCAGGTCAGCCTACTGGGGCAAAATGGTTGGAGGTACCAGCCAAAAGGAGGCCCATGCCAGTTCATTTCTTTTCTGGCATGCAAGGCGTCCAGGCCTCGGGAGTATTTGTGGCACCTACCCCATTTTTCATACCCCCACCGGGTCGAATGAATATGGGACCTGAGGGGCAGACCGATTCGGTTACCGCCGCACCAACCCGTAGGTACTGGTGGTTTAAACCATCTCCACGACTACTTTTTAAATCAGCACACTTAGGTATGGAAGAATAGAGTGGAAATATGGGACGCTGGACCCGGTTTCCAGCACTCTGGCGTCACTCTCATTGATGTACTGTGTGGCAAAGATGTATGTATGGGACGCTGGACCCGGTTTCCAGCAGGTGTTGCTCCCCACCAATAGATGGAGCGGCCCGCTCAAAGCCTCAATCCCGGTGGTTCTCTTACCACCACCAGGATAGAGGTCTTGCACAAGGGCCTGAAAAAAACAAAACAAAAAAAAAATCACCACACCTCTGTGGTAGGCATGGGGGTTCAGAGTGAAACTCTGTGATAAAGAGACCTGGTGGACAAGTCCAAAATAACCACACGATGCAACCTGCTATACAGTTCTGATGGTGGGGTTCCGCTGCACGGGAGGATTTCATCCATGTGCGCCCCACCTGGATGTTCTTTTGGTTCTGATTGAACGGCTATATGCTGAAACCTCTGCCGAGTATCCAATTGACTCTCCTTCGTACCACCCTCTTTACCCGCCAGGCTTTTCATGGTTGCACGCATGCAGTGGACGTCCGAAACTAGCAGCGTATTTCACAGCCTTCTGTTTCAGCCTTTATGTATCGTCATTGAATTGACCAACCCAAAGTAATTCGGAAGTTTTTTACTCAAACTCATGCCTGTTTATTAACAGCTCAAGGGTGCACCATTCAGCCACGTGGGCTTGGTTTTTTGGTTTCTAGCAGGTTTTAAAGGCCAGACGTATCTCACCAAGTGGTTAAGGTCCAGGCATGTGACAAGCAAATGGGTCCGCGGGTTCAGATTCACTATTTCTTCACCCATTTCGATGAGTTGGCCAAGGGCCCACACGTAACTGGGCCTTCATGAGTGGGGTGCCTACGGGTTTCTAAGGGTGGTGGGGTTCGACGGTGGCCTTGATAATGATTGAAAAATTTGTGTGGTGAAAAAACATACCCCGGCTGCCAACTATTTGATATATATCTCAAGGTCATCACCCTTCAAAAAGAAGAACCAAAAACAAAGGGAGTCCACACATTCTTCGTGGTGAGCCGCAGACTGGCCACCGATATCCATAGAAGTTGAAAGGTTGGACCTTGGCACGATTCTTTTCCTGGATAGCATGGTGGTTTAAACCTCCAGTCCTATGAAGGGCCGCTTTTCGTTCCGCCCTACTACAATATAGACCACCGTCAAGTCTGGATAGTGGCCCATGACCTTCTGCTCCACCACATCCTATTTTTTCACATTAGAGGTATAGCTCAGTTGGTACACCCATGAAATTTTGAAATGCAGACTATAGTTTGAGTCCATATGAGAGGACAAAGAAATCCTACAAACAAATGACAGTGCAAAAATTGATCATAAACCACATGTAACCATATCAATCACCCCTCCTTCAACAGAGCATGCAAAAATTCACCATTCGGGCACCGAAGGACGAACCTCCTTCAATCATCGAATTTGGATTTACAAATATGTGAAAATAGTTAAACATAAACACACATGTACATTTTTGGGTCATTCTTTGGCATAACATACAAGCCCAGGAAGCCCCAGCCATTCTCACTGGTTTTCATACGCGTTATATTCATTCATCCATTTCACAAATCTGTATATAAGTGATTACACTTACATTCATCCTTACACTTAAACATTTGGATCAAAGACTGAATCACAAGGACATAGTAATTTTATGGCATTACCCTTATCATACATAAATTTGAGAAAAAAGAATAATATATATATATATGTCCTCACAAATCACTACCATCCCCCCCCCCCCATCCCTCCTCGCTTATCCCCAATAAACCTTTTTACGTTTTAAAATTGTTTTTCCACTTAAGTTGAAACAGACTTTCAATCAACTTAATGATATACGGATCCCAACGGCGAGCATATGATGAACATATCCTTTAAGATTTTAAGAAAATAAAAAGTAAACATTTTTTTTTTTTAATGTCAACTGAACATATCCTCCACAATCAACATCGTTTACCATTATAACAAGTAACACTTGCATGACATATACAATAGATGTAGGCTATAATAAACTCCAGACACACACAACACATGTCATTCAACTCTTCGATCCTCTCTCGTTTGTATGTAACTTTAGACTAACACCGTGACTGCTTTACCAAAGGATTCTGCATTCATAACATTCGTACAAGTTGATTGCTTTACCAAAGGATTCCGCATTCATAACATCCGTACAAGTTGATTGCTTTACCAAAGGATTCCGCATTCATAACATCCGTACAAGTGTTCATAATAACATTAGAATTATACGGCACGCGTCATAGCAAACACATACAAAATTCAAGACGACCACACTTGAATACACTGCCAACAACCTTAGTATAAAATTTTAAAATATATATAAACTTTCATAATAGCAGCTCCGACACGTGCCTTGCAAAAAAAACATCGAGTAAAAAAAAAGACAGAAATCGACAAACTAATTATTTGAATTTATTTCCTCTTCCACATTCTTTTATTTTTCATTTTTCCAATCCCAGTAGTTTCTTACAATATTTTTTCGATTGCACTCAAAGTGTTTATCAACAATAACACTTATGTATAGTCCACCACAAATGCTTAATTTTTCACTATATCATGTGTTTAGCTATTCCTCACATCAATTGCACTCAAAGTTGTTTATCACCAATAACACTCGTGTATATTCTACCACAAGTGCTTAGTTCTTCATTATATCGTGTGCTTCGTTCTTCCTCATATTGTATGGTTTTCATTGTTTCCTTTCCTATATTTCAAATCTCAACTCTCTCAAATTTTGCAGCTCAATATCGTTTTAAAAATCACTCATCACACTTTCCCTAAATCGAAAACACCCCCCTCTTAAACCAGATACTTTCAAACTTGTTTAATGTTTATCCATCCTACATACAATAAGATGACAACTCGAATCACCACTATGTACTAACACCATTGAGTATAAAACATTATCCTTAATCAACATCATTCACAACAAGGCCCTAGGTTCAATATTCATCTCTTTGTTTTTCACTCCTTGAACAACATATCATAAAACTATTCCCCACTTCTGACCTTTCTCACTGGTCGACTTCCCTCATCACCACTTTGTGCTACCATCTTAACCCGAAAACAAGGTACATACTTTGTATTCGAGTTACCTTCGAAAATTAGGGTTTGATAAATTGTTGTAGTTTTTTTTAATAGAAGGCACTCTCGAATGCAAGGTCCGTACATCATGATGTGTGCCTTGTCTGAGATACTTTAAATTTTTTTTTTTCTATTTTTTTTTTAATGTACAATACCGTCAGCAGAGGACCGAGGTATGGATATGATATGAGCAGCCTCAATGGGAGGGGCCCCCCAGGTGTAGTCGTTGTAATCTATCTATGGGAAGCTATACCTTATGGAAATGAGGTCCAACATCCTCGACAAGCCTACTAACAACAACACAGGTGCAAGGGTTCCTTTTATATTATTACTAATATTTACTATACATTTTTGTTTTAATATCCCCCCCCCCCCCTCGCCTTAGAAAAGTTGCACCCTAAAATTCGTTCCACAAGATAGGTACCTTGTTTTCGGGTAAAGATGATAGGCACAAAGAAAACGTCCTTTATATCATCAAACAAACAATCCCTCCTCGATACCAAAAAGTAAACCACTAATATTTTGTACCGTTTTTTGCCAAGCCTAGAAATGTCGTTTACGCAAAAAATAATTGAACCAGCTCAACATTTTTTGGTTGGCGCCACCAGTTTTCTCCAGTAGCCAACCCCCGAAATTAGCGACACCTTAATTACTTCATTGCATAAAAATGGTTAAATCAAGTGCTGGTGGTTTAAACACGATCATTTTAATTCCACCACCAGATCTACCACACATGCCCTGGGTATCTCATTTCAGGTCCCATTTTTTCAATTCCATGCCCATTGATCTGTTCCACCATGTAAGATACAGTCGGTGCACAACGTAAGTAAAATATCAACACATAGTGCAATTTGTGTTAATGGGTTTGGCGCACCTTGGAGAAATTTATGGCGGCCATAACCAAAACAAATGCGAGATACTAATCATAAATATTGTCTTATTATTTTGTTATTTTAGCATTTTATGTTAATTAATAAAACAAAATTTCATATTATATCATGATAGCCGAGTTTTTTTTTTGTTTCTACATACCCCCCCCCCCCCCCCCCCCCTTCCTCCCTCTCGTCTCAAACATTTTAACAGTCTCTATGAATCAATTGTACGCAAAGGGACACTCCAAAGGAGGTGATCTCAATTCTTTTGTGATGCGCAAAATAAGAGCGTCGCAAGTCGCACCCCTGGTCGAAGACTGTTTTTCACATGGATACGACTTTGGAGGAGATCGAGTTTGATTCAAGGGAATGGGCTTAACAGCCAGGAAATGAAGATCAAATTACTGAAGCGTTACGGAAAAAACTCATAGTCCATACAACCCATCAAAATAACTTTTTTGAGTCTTGACTTACACCCACTCCTAGTTATTCATTGGCTTCTCATATGAAGAAGAAAATGTGATCCATATGACTTAAAATATTGCGTAGCATGCGTGGAATAGTAACAAGAAATATGATGCACAAATTAATTAGATATGAGGGGGTTACTAAGTACTGGGTTAGAAGCTTCGACTCTATGAAAATACTTCTTTTTTTTTGGGGGGGGCAAATGGAAATAGTAAGAAATACTTTTGTGTCTCTTACTTGAATAACCCATCGTTCTCATTTTTTGGACTAGCACTTTGACCCACTTTGGCAAACCAGAAAAGGTCTGGTTTCAGATAATCCGTGAAGTGACACTCTAGGCCATCTGGAAGGAGAGATGCAACATAACCCTAGACGATTCCACAAAACCATGTGATAAGGTCAAGGCCGCGCCGATGCCCGTGGCCAGTCTCCACTTCGAGCTAAGATTTGTTTCCTCCTCTCCCTCCTCCTCCTCCTCCTCTACTTCTTCTTCCTCTTCCTTGTCCTCCTCTTTTTCCTCCTCGTCCTCGTCCTCATCCTCCTCATTCTCCTTTTCCTCCTCTTCCTCTTCTTCTTCGCCGTTGTCCTCCTCATCTTCTTCCTCACCCACCCCTCCTCTTCCTCCTTTCCCTTCTCTATGTCGTTTTTCTCTTCCTTGTCCTCCTCTTCCTCTTCTTCTTCCTCCTCTTCCTCGCATTCCTTCTCTTCCTCTTTTTCTTCCTCCTCCTCGTCTTCCTCCTCTTCGTCTTCTTCTTCCTTCTCCTCGTCTTCCTCCTCCTCGTCTTCCTCCTCTTCATCTTCTTCTTCCTCCTCCTCCTCGTCTTCCTCCGCTTCCTCGTCCTTTTCATCCTCCTACTCATCCTCCTCCTCAGGCGAAGACAACAACGACGGCTTCATTCGCCTTTTGTATATATTTTTTTCGCGATCGTTGTCATCGTAGTCACCTTTACGGCGATGATGACCTCCTCCTCCTCCTCCTCTCCTTCTTCTTCCTCCTCCTCCGCTTTTTCTTCCTCCTCCTCCTCCGCTTTTTCTTCCTCCTCCTCCTCTTCTTCCTAGTCCTCTTCCTCATCCTCTCCCTCCACTTCAGGCAACAATAAAAAAGACATCGTTCAAGTTTGGTGCCTGGGCACCCGGACAAACAGCCTAGGCAAGGAGTGAGTTCCGCTGCACTTTTCAAATTCTGGGGAGCGCTGAAATGGATTCCTTCTCATAAACATGTCAGTCTGTTGTGGCTGGAGTAAATACTGGATACAGCATCTGCAATATGGCTGTCTAGCAAGTGGATGTCCATTTCCACTGTGTGTACCCAGTGTGACTGCGGTTGTGAATCAATGTCCCACTTATGGCTGTACTGCCCATTCTCAGATGAAATCTGGGAATGCTGGCAAGTGGATGTACATTTCCACTGTGTGTACCCAGTTTCACTGGCGGCAGACAACAAATGATGAGCTCTGCTGGTCGGACGATCGGGTTCAGTTTGGCCACACACACACACACACACACACACACACACACACACACACACACACACACACACACACC